GAGGCCACTAGTAGGTTTGAGGCCATTGCTAGTAGGTTGGAGGCCATTTGTAGGAGGTTGGAGTGACAAGGTTTTGCATGTTGAGCCAGAACGAGACCTGGGTGTTTTCAATCCAAACTGGTGCAAAGCAGACCCTCCAGTGCCATCCAGTTGTTCCAACCATTTTCTGGGTGAGACATGCAGACACCGTTTCCTGGCAGGCTTTGGTTGCAGCAACGCCTGGGTCGAGAAGCAGCAGCCGGACTTGCAAGAGATGTACCTTGGACTATAAACCAAGTAAGTGTATTTCCTGGATTCTTTGCTCACACATTTCTGCAGAGCACATCTACCACAAAGCATTTTTCCACCTTCAGTTCTGAGATTTCGTTCCATCAGTTACTGGAATGCTTGTTCTTGAGATGCATGAGATACTGTAAGTTCAGCCTTTGTTACCGTAAGTGGTCCGACTGTGGGTCATGTCTGAGGCAGGTTCCATGTTTGCTCATCAACTCGCAACTCGGAGGAGTTGACCAAGTGGCCCAAAATGGCCTAGAAACAAAATCAACAAGACATCGGTCAGTCACATGGGCCTCAAGCAAGGCACGGCTCAAAGATTTGCTGTTGATGATGAGGGCATGGCCGGGCAAGTGAATTTGTTGACAGAAAGCTGAACCCCCCCTACAGTACACGAAGCGTTGAAACATGAGTGCCTGAAGCTTGGAAAACAGTTCCGGAACGCCTAATTTTTTATCATTGGCACGGACATAATATAGAGCCGGGACCTTAAGCAGGCTCTAAGTACTTGAGTTGGAGAGTTGGAATGTAAGTAGACCAGTATCAGTGTGCTTCTCACGCTGGGCCTGAATGGTTCAAATATGTTTAAGTAAGTTAACTATATTAATGTTTAATTGGTGAGCTTGCCATTTAGCAAGTCCAAAGGCTTGGGTTTTCTGTTGGACTTGATGCACCTTCGTCCACGGCCCACGGGCCCACGGGCGACGGCCTTAGGCGAGACGATCCCATTTGCATTTGGGAGAACGTGGAGGAGCACAAGTCAGCCATTGAGAAGAATCCATTTTTGGCCTTGGCGGAGCTGTGCTTTGGACTGCAGATCTGAGCCGTGCAGCCGTGCCTCTTCTTTCAAGGCTTCTACACTGGAAACAAGCCGATGGCCTAAGTCGACCTTCTTTGCAAGAGTAGACTATGTAGCAGTACTTGTCATCATACCGAGGGTTCAGCAACTGTCTGGATCGACGATGTAACTCTAAAAGGATCTACGGTAGATCTAGATGTAACTCTATCATACCAAAGGCACTTGGAACAAAGCGCACACCGTTTGTTGAGATCTAGATTTTCTCTTCATCGTCAAGCTGATCATGTCCCGGAAAGTCAATTCATCACAGGGTTCCACAAGTGGCGAAGCTATAAGAGTTGAAGTTCAATACTTTACAGTTGCAACTGAGAGCTGTGGCGTTTTGCAATGTTTAGTCCAAGGCAGCGTGGATCTCACGGCTGCAAGTGACTTGGAGATAGAGCGGGTCTTCCCAGCAATTTTATGCCACAAGTGGTACTTTTGGAGGTGTCAGATGCAGAAAACCATCGAACACCGGGCTATTTGTCGGAAAGAGCCTCTATTGCCAAAGCAACCCACCCAGTCGAGCAGAGCAGAGCCGCATGACATAGCCATTGATCAGCTGAGGTTCGATTTCTGGGGCTACAATTCCGTTGGAAACCGCATGATTGGTGACTTCGTCCTTGCCTCCTGGGAGGAGCTCAAGCGAAGCTGAGAATCACTGAGTCAGCTGAGGGAGCTGAACCGATGGGTCTCGGCCAGGTAGCCCAGCATAGCTTCCCGAGTTGACTGGCTAAAGGGCCATGAACTTGCACAGATGTGGGGATGGGGCATGAAACAGTTCAAACTCAAGACAGTCGACCTATATGATCTACATGCACCAAATTCTTGATGCCATCATTCCGTCATTGTGCCCGACCGGTTTCATCCAATCTATTCATTTTCCAACCGACTCCACGCACCATCTTTTCCAAGAGAACGTGAGTTGTCGGTGGGCCTCTGTGGCTTGCCTTTGGGCAGTGGATTCTTGCCAGGCAGTGGGCCTCTTTGGATTGTGAGAGATCAGAGACACCACAAATCACCACCATGAGGCGAACTGAAGGTTGAATCGCACCAGGTCACCTGCCCAGGTTTTGCTCGCTTTCAATGAGCTACAGCATAGTCACAGCCAACAATGCGCGATGGCCACTAAGCAGAACACCTCAAAAGCCCTATAGCCTATATATAAGTTATATTATCTGTATATACGTGATGCTCGAGGGCTTGAGGTTCTGCCGGGAGACCAAACTGGTTCCTTTTGCTGAGCTTTTTAAGCGCAAGTTGGTGTGGATCCTCGGTAAAGAGTGATGAAATGGATGCAACCCACGGCAGGGACCCAAGCCTTATCAGGTTGGACCCACCGGACACCCCAATCAGGAGACATGAGGAGTCTCAGTAGTGTTTTGATGTCTTTTGCGTTTGTTTGTTGCTTCAGCTTCAGGTCTGAAGTCTGATCTCTCAATTTCACAAGCAGGGCTGGGAGTAGGTTGATGGCAACTGAGACACGTTCCTTACTTGATGGCATGCGAACAGTGCAACAGCTCAGTTCTTTTTTAGAGCTTCTACTTTCAACTTTGGTGTGGCCGACAAGGACTGCTCGAAGGTATCAAGAGATCAATTTGGAGACGAGACACCCGGAGACACTGGTGGAATTGGGAGGTTCGCTGAGTTGGATCAGCAGGATCGATAGCCCACGTAGGTGATCAACCTGATGGATCGCGAGTTGGCCTTGGCTGCCAATCTCTCGTGCCCGACCTCGATTGGTGGACCGAGGACCAAATTTCTTGGACTGCTCAGGCCTTTGACAGCCCTACGCTACATTGCTACACATTCACCTTTAATCTCAGTTGCCCGATATTCTGTTGGATTTCTTGCTAGAAGGCGCCTGGTGCGATGACCTAGGTTCAGAAGATTTCAGAAGTAGTTTTTTTATGTTTCCGGTCTTGCCAGGGATCCTTTCTCTTGCTCCTATCAACTGCGTACCGCAGGTATCGCTACCCTGATGAGCCGCCAGAGCGGCTGACAGACTTGGCCCAGGAACCCAGCTGCGAAACATTGCAGTCGATCAACGTGGATTGTAGTTGCACTTTATACGCAAGCTACGCGGAAATCCGCATACTTAACTGTGAAACATCGCGAATTGCAACCGATTTGGCTCAGCGTATCGCTCAGTCCTGGCTTTGTGACTTCGTGATACAGAGATATACATCGATATACGTCCATCAGCAAGAGCACTGAGCGATGGACGCTTGATTAATTACTCAAGTCTGGTTTGATATGCGTTCCATGCTTACATGGTGAGCAGTCCATCCACAAGTGCTGTGTACAACTTTCCATGAGGCTTTGGCTTGCTATGGTTCCATGCTTCTGCTTGTATCATCTTGTATCCAAGTATAGAATACATGTATGTATACATATATTCACATTTAATTTATAGATGCTGTATAGATGTATACAGGTTCGATGCTATATAGACTATAGACAAGGAGAGAAATCAACGTGAAGGGGCCCAGGGGGGGTTGACAGCTGTAGTGACACTGGGGCAAGCGGCCAAAGAGAGATTGCTTTAACTTTAGCTGTAGCTTGTGTTCCAAAACCGACTCCGCCTTTGACCGCCGTCCTCCACCTTCTGAACCTGCCGAGTAAAGCATCCGCAATCAATCGGGTGAGGCGTTCGAGGATGGTCCTGTGGCATCACCGTATGCTGTGGTCTGGTGGGCTCAGGGTCGGCACGACGGGTTCCACATGCTTTACCAAACTCATCAAAATTATCATGTTCAAGATCAGCACTTGCGTAGAACTATCCAGGTGTGAAAGGATGGCAATAGACTTGTGTGGTTTTGTTTCATGGTGAATGGACAGTACGGTGGTTCTCAAGGTTCATGGAATGAGGACACGCATTCCTCCGGCAAGGCAAACCATGGCAAAGCATGCCTCAACATGTGCAGCGGCTCGCACACACGCTTCGTCCATCCAGGTCAATGCGCCTCGCCGAGCAGCGGCTTCCAGAAAACAGAAGCGTTCCAGGTGACATCAGTTTTGTTTGTTCCCGAACCATGAGTCATGTCATTTGTTTTTCCTCTTGCACAGTGAACTCGTCATGTTTGACAGTTAGACAGGAACATATCTCACTCATCCATAATTCCCAATGAATCCCGGGGCCGTCGGATGAGCACTCCGTGACTCCAATTTTGGTGAGTGCTACCGTCGGATGGAACCGGCGCAGGGGCCGCGCTCAATCGCGTCGCTCTGCGGGCAGTCGGCCGCCCAGCCTTTCTGGGACGTGATCTACAGCGGTTAGGAGCTGGGAGCTGCAAGGAGCTGCATGCCCACACACAACCAGGATCCACTGGCTGTTAGGAGCTGCAAGGAGCTGCTTGTTTCACCCTCCATCTGATTTGTGGGAGAAGGTCTGGCCTGAAACCGAGGTGTTGCCGCAGTCTATGCGCCTTCGACCGGTTCAGTGGCGCGCCCAGAGCGCTGAGGAGCAGCTCCCTCTGAAAGTAGGAAGGTCAGGAGGTAATCCAGTGTGAACCATGGTAACCCACGGTAACCATCTCATGTTTAGGCTGTTCAGGCAACTCTTTTTGCCTCTGTTGGATGTTGAGACCCTCCGATTCGATCGTCTTTTTGGAGTGAGAGCCGTGATTCCTTGGCAGGCTCAGAGAAGGTGAAAGGGGTGATTCGTTGTCTCAAGTGTGTCATACCGAGATGTACAGTGGAACCTGGAGAAAATAGTCTTTCTTTGTCATGTTCATCGTTCAAATTGTTTGTTCAGAGACTTGAGACAAACACATGGCATCTCCTTCAGAACTGGGCTATAAACATGCTTGTTAAAGCTGTTCTGACCAGGTGACATATACGCAAGAATCGGCTCGAAGATGCTGTGCAGAGTGCATTGAGCAACACAATTTTTCGCAATGGAAAAACTGGAAACCCTCGTGGACAGCTTGCAGAGCCCCTTGCCAAAGTCGATAGTTGGTTTGTCGTGCAGGATTGCTTTAACAATGCTTCTCTCTTCATGTTGCCATCGTTGTGTGAGCAACCGACAAATTCTGTCTCTGGTTGTAATTGAAGATTTGGCTTACTAGGGATTTTCGTTTGGCAGATGCTCATATGTGCTTAGATTTGATGATCTTAGAATGCTTGGTATCATCGCATGGTTAACCTTTGGTCACTGGTCATGTCCCCCTTATGGCTTATTTTCCCCAAAAATTGGTTTAAGGTTTGTTGAAGAGCAAGCTGCGAGATCTCCGGTGTGTCCAAGGCTTTTTACATCAGATGGATGAGAGGCTTTTACGACATGAGAAGCTCATTGAGACATCCCTTCGAAGGAACTTCTCAGAGCCCATGGTGTTCTCACCCTCCGGGCCCTGCGCCAGCTCCATGGAACGACCTGATCCTCCAGAGACCCGCAAGTCGCCGGCCTTCCACCCAGGGCGCGACCTCACCAGCGATATCGTTGAAGAGGCACCTAGGAGTCCGAAGAGCCCTTTGTCCGAAGCAGATGGAGATGGCGATCCTGAACCAAACTTCGACTTGAACTCGCCGATCTCGCAACCGGCGAATTTGATTCGGTTGACCTCCAACCAGCGTGGAACCCGACTTTTCAAGCCTGTGAAGCAGAATTCCTATGAGTCACTCGGCTTAGGTTCTTTGTTCATGTTTTCTGCACATGCTTGCCCGTGAAAAGATGAAGCTAGTGTTTGCTGAAGTTTGATTCATACATGTTCATACGTCATAGAGTCATAGCCAAAGCAAAGGACCGACATACGTCGGCCACGTGTCTTTTAGTCACCAGCAACGAGTTGCAGAAGCCAGGCTAGCGCAAGAGGAGGAATCCAGAATGGTGATGCCCGGCACGTCAAGCCCATCCATCCATGCCTCGGAGATGCCGCAATTCCAGCACATCCATAAGGGTCGTCCATGTCGAAAATATATGGCAAAGATCGTCTCTACCTGGCAATTCGAAACCGTTTTCGCCCTCTTCATTCTGGCGCATGCCATTTTGCTGGGCGTTCAAATCGAATGGGAGCCTGGGACAAAGATGATCTAAGGGTGCAACAGAGATCAACAGAGTTTCAGATTTTGATTTCTGTACGTTTGTTTAAACATTGACTTAACATTGACTTAAAATGACTTAACCATTTACCAACTCACAGCATCATAATTAATAATATACAAGATTATACAAGCAGCATCATTCAGTACTGCGGTGTGTTCCGGCATCTTCGTAGAGAAGCCAGAGATGGCTGTGGAGGGCAGCCGCCAGCGAAGGCCCACACCACACTCTGACATTGGTTTTCAGTTAACTCAATTGCCACGGTGGGAAGGATGGTGAAAAACGGTAAGGTGAAGAGTCCGCAAAACTTGTAGATGTTTTAACAAACTGTTTGTCAAGTCTGCAGAAATCACTTAACGCGCGGCTCAGCTGCAGAAACGCAGAAAAGGCTTAAAAATTGAAAGGCAGGTACGTCAGTGCTGGCCGGGCACTGATATCACATCCACTTGGTGCGGTCTTTGTTAGATGAGGCACACCAAGGGATCCTCATCCCCCTGCGTGGAAACTGCATAATGAAAATTCAGTGCCCCTGGATACGGGGGTTGACACACACAGTATGCCGTGAGTCGGCGCTTCTGGAGAGAGGCTTGGCGGTCAATAGCTTGCTTACTGGCTGGCTGGCTTGCTTTCTTGCTTGCTTGGCTACTGGCTTGCAGTGCGGGAAGTGGGTGAAGTGGGGAGGCATGTAGGCTTGTGGGAGTGCATGTTGAAAGGGCGTGGCGGTGACATGGCTGGAGCTTGTGGTGGATGAGATAGCAAAGCAGGTAGTGGTGGTGGTGGTGGTGGTGGTG